CATTGTTCTCCCCGCTTTCAGTCGGATAGAGTTGTATAGTCAAAGAATGATCCTTGAACATAATGTTCAATGACATCCTCAAGTCAAGGATAGTCTGTACTACCAAACAATGAGAGATATTACGAATTCAAAAATACTCTCTATAATAAATCCTTGTGAAGCCTCTAGTGGGTCAGTTCAATGTCATCTATTCTCTAATAGATCCACCCATGACATCAATTAAAATATCTCCATGCCTACATTCCATGAGGTCCCTACCTTGTATTCCATACAAGTAGATGACATCATGCTAGTCTTGTTAAGACGACCAATGCCTTTTTTTGCTGGCTCAAAACTAGGAACAAGTTTTAGGTAATAAACACATAATAATTATGATTCCTTTATAGATCATCGAATGAACACTCATTATATTCCTAAGGCATTTATCTTTAAACGCATATTAAACATAAATAAAAAGGTAAGACAAAATATGATAAATATAAAATTTGCTCAAAGTAATTAACATGAAATACCAAATAGCAAAAAATATTCATTTGATTAAATAAATTATCTCTAAGATATCTATGTACTAACAATTTAGACCAAGAGAATGTTTCTTTTTCATCCTATTATTTCGGATATAACATAGACCAATGTACACGATGCAATATTAAGTGCATATTTGGTCATTTATGACTTCATGAATCATGTTCTATGCCAAAATTGTCCTTGAAAGTTTTGAAGCATCAAATTTAACATATTTAGTGGGCTGTATGCATATTTAGTTTTCGATAGTATTCTGGCTTCATTGCCACTACTCCACCTTATTTCTTATTTTCAAAATATTAAAGAGTAAAAAATTCAACGAAGAGCATATGCTTCTAATAGATTTCTTGTCCTCTAAAATGCATCTACGAGAAGCTTTATTTCTTTTTAGTGTAATAATACATTCCTTTATCAGGAAAAGATCAGAGATCAGGTATTGAGCAGAACAGCATCACATGAATCAATTGTAATGGAAGAGAATCAAAGTTTACTCGTCCATTAAACAAAATTGATTAAAGTATGACTTATTTTTTTCTTTAATTAAAATAAACACTACAAAGTCGCAATATTTGAAGTAGGGAATCTATATATATATATATATATATATATATATATATATATATATATATATATATTATTTTAAACATATTTACTATATTTTTTATTTATTTGTTTGTTGAGTAAATTCACATATTCACGAGAATTATAAATCAATATCATTAACATCAGACACATTAATTCTTAAAAAGCTAATACATCTGCCATGTTGAGATTTTTGAGAACGAGGTTTAATTTGTTGAAAAGTGAAACCACACATAGTAAGTAAAATATATATTTTGTTTGATATAATATTACTAAGGGAAATGTTTTTCTTATGCCGCGCGAGCAGTGGTGGACGAAGCGGAAGCGAGAATGTCGGCTTGAGTAACGCAAACGTTGGTGAGAATCCAATGCTTCGAAAACCTACGTACGATTTTCCCGATCTAAACAAAGCAGATTTTCCATAGATTTGGCTCAGCATGTTCTATTCGATACGGGTAGGAGAAGAACCCGACTCGGTATTCTTAAAAAAATAGAGAAATCAGAACCTAGGAATCGGCATTTAATGAATTCAACAGTTCAGGCATCATTCTCATAATTGAAATAAGAAATCATCTGAAAGAACGGTTGGCTCTTGGCAGATGATTATTCATCTGCTTCTCACGTTCCATGAATAGTCGGCACATTGAGGAATATCCAGAACGGCATTTAGGGAATCGCTCTGATTCTATCGCGATCGGAAAAGAAAGAAATAGTTAATATATTCAAGATAATTATGTATTTACAAAATACCGTCTCAATTCATACCATTTTTTTATGATCCTTCGATAAAAAGATTCATTCTCTTCATAAAAAAGAGACGCACCTCTGGTGTGCCAATTATCGTGCCCACGGTAAACGCTGGGTAGCCAAGTGCAGTCTAAAAATGTCTATTTTATTTTTCTTTCCATTCATTTTTTTTTTCAATTACATTCGTATTTTCATTACAATGGAAAAAAAGTGCCCTTTGGTGTCCCCCCAGTCAAGGATTTGGGTCTCACTATGAATAGCCAATATGCTTTCTTTTATCTCATGCCTTTCTTCACTCATGGTTCGATATCAACTCTTCTGATATTGTTCTTTTACTTTTCAGAGTCTTTTTTTTTTATACATTTTTATAGATAAATTCTGTATTTAGTAGACTATTTTTTTTTCGCATTCTTTAATTTCAACATAAGAGATAAAAAAATTGGATTTTCATATTTTTATTTCGTATTTTGGAATGTAAAAAAATGAATTTCCCCCCTCGATGGAGAGATAAACCGGTGGCTCTTTCAATTGTGCAAGCAAGATTGGTTGGGTTAGCCCACTTTTCTGTAGGTTATATATTTACTTATGCAGCGTTTTTGATTGCTTCTACATCGGGCAAATTTGGTGAAAGTTGGATCTAAATTGGATCTCACCTGAATCGCCCCATCTATCTTCCTGAGGAGAAGTTTGGTTTCAAACTCCGATTCGAACAGGGGGTTTCGTCAAGCTACTGTTACATCCATTTCATTAGGAATTGATGACCTGGGGGAATTACACTTACTTGTTTTTTAGTCCAAGTAGCGACGGGGTTTGCTATGACTTTTTATTATCGTCCGACCGTTACTGAGGCTTTTGCTTCTGTGCAATATATAATGATCTCACTGATGGCTCGGGCCCCCCCAGAAAGAGGCCTTCTTCGCCCTCCACCTAAGCTGCGCAGGAAAAGCCCAAAGCCAATCCCAGGGAACAGTAGATGGATTTTTCGATCAAAAGTACTATGTGAAATCTTCGGTTTTTTCCTCTTTCTCTATCCCTATCTCGTAGGTATAGCGTTTGAATCAATAGAGAACCCTTTCTTCTGTATCTGTATGAATCAAGATTCTTACATTCCAATTCAGACAATTTGTCTCATGCAACACACAAAAAAGTGGATAGGATCCACTAAGAAGAAGAGAGAGAAAAGAAAAAAGTAGGTCCCACCCATTTTTTTTTGTGTTGCATGAGACAAATTGTCTCATGCAGTACATGAGAAAAACATTTTCTTATATTACTAAGGGAAAACATTTTCTCATGTTGCATGAGAATTCAATTCTCATGTTGTGATCCTTCGATTTGCGTGCAAAACTTTTCTTTTCTTTTTCTTTTTTTAATAAATGTGGGACCCGCCACTAGTTGAGTCACAACATGAGAATTGAATTCTCATGCAACATGAGAAAATCAAACCCCTATTACTAATTAGAAAACTCATGTTTAAGGAACTGTTCTTCATATAAATTCGATAATATTAAAGAGGAAGGTTATACTTACAACATATTTTCGTTTACAATCTCTTATAACTGTATCTTTAACCATTGATTTCCGGCCTTCAACGATTATTATTTTCGCAAATTAAACTCATTAATTAATTATTAATTCGCAATAAATGATAATCGTTAATTGACGGAAATAAACGGTTAAGATATTATTGTAAGAGGTTGTAAACAAAAATTGATTGTAAGTATAACCTCCCTCAATATTCAACATCAACATCAACATCAACAACACCTTTATCCCAAATTAATTGGGGTCGGTGGTAGATGAACCCACATGAAAGATACAAAACGGTTGAAAAAAAAGTAAAAAAACAAAAAATAAATAAATAAATAAATAAATAAATAAAATAAACAAATAAAATAAAAAATAAAATAAAATAAAATAAAAATATATGTATATATAAATAAATAAAAGTAAAAAAGAAAGGGACAAGAAGAAGTGGGGGAAATGAAGGGGAAAAAGACTAAAAAGGGACCATCTGGAACATAGGAATAACAGCGGGTCTAACCCTCCACCATACTTATAGCTTTTCTCCATTCCGTTCTAAGACATACTGTCCGCCAATCTATATCCCACTCCATTAAATCTTGTTTTACTACTTTCCCCCAATTAAGCTTCGGTCTACCTCTGCCTCTTTTTGTGTTTAGCTCTTGGTAACAAACTTCTGTTCTTACAGGAGCATCCATGGGTCTTCTCATCACGTGCCTAAACCACCTCAATCTATGTTCTCTCATCTTCTCGGCTACCGGTACTACTCCGACCTTTCGTCGAATATCTTCATTTCTTATCTTATCCATCCTTGTGTAACCACACATCCACCTTAACATCATCATCTCTGCTACTCCCATCTTATGCTCATGTTGCCTATGTGCTGGCCAGCATTCCACTCCATATAGCAAACTGGATTAAATTAATATGAATATTAAATAAAATATTTAATATTTTTCATGTTACGGGAGATAAATTTTATTTATTATATACGCATAAAAATATGTAGGACCTATAATCTTTTCATTATCTTTTTTTCCCTCAGATTAATTCATATGAGCCCTATATATATATATATATATATGGGTTTATATTTTTGCAGCTGTTGTACGTGCAACAATCAAATACTTGCCATATATATACTTGAAAGCATTAAATGTGAAAAATCATAACCATACAAAGGATGAAAGCATTAAATATGGAGAATCATAACCATACACATGTCGTCGTTGTACCTAAAGCGGCTCCAAGAATTTTATTACCATATATATATATAATAATAATAAATTTATCTCTATAAGAAATATTAAACCCTTAAATAAATTTGGAGCGAGATCAAGCACTTTGATTTTGAGTTATCAATTAAATCAAATTATTCGAGTAATCATAAATCAATAGAGAAATAAAAAAAAGAAAGAATATGAACCATATAAATTTCTAAATTCTTGGGTTACTAAATCAACCATCTAACAATAAAATAAATTTATTATGTAATTTAATCATTTGAGGTATACTATTCAAACAATATCTGTTGCATTTTGGAATTTATTATTGTTTCTTTTTCACTATTCAAACCCAAAAAAAAAAAGCAACGAATAAAGCGTCATGCATTGCAGTTGCCAGCCCACATATAAGGACAACCCACTCAATCTTCATCCCAAACAAGAAGCATAGCATTTTCAGCAGAGAACAATTTCGCAGTATTGAGGAACCCCGAGACAAGTGCTGCAGATCCTTGTTTTGCTGTTGGTTTCAATGGCAGAGGGGAACAGTGACAAAACCCTTCGACAAATTGCAGAGGCATTCAATGACCTCGCAACGGTTGTCTCCGATTCGCAGAGCGCAGAGGTTGAGGTTGCCCCCTTCTCGCGTGCATGCGCTCTTGTCTCCCCTCTCTTCGGTTGCTTGGGCATCGCCTTCAAGTTCGCTGAGAAGGATTACGTTGCCAAGGTACTACTGTTAATCTCTGATCATATGTTTTGATTCAACTCTAACTATTTTGTTTTAATTGGGTTTGTTGTAAAACTCAAAGGGTAATGGAAAGTTGGAATTTTTATTTATATCTTTGTTTGTTTGCTGTTTTCTGACTCTTGGGAATCGACCTCTCTTTTTTTTTTACGAGAATTCTTGAATTAAATCATCCTCATGTTTTTCGGTAAATTTGATTAGAAAGTAAGGTAAAAAAGAAGATATTTTGGATTAGTGCATTTAGTTGCATCTTATAATCATCTCAAAAAGTTAAACTGGAATAAATAATGATGGTCTCATTTCAAAGTTGGACACTTTCTCCTTAGTGTATATTTCATGTTTTCCATTTGTTATCATGATTTAGTTTATCTGTGTTATGTCATGGGTTTTACTTGATTGTTTGATGATCATAGGTTCAAGATCTAGCAGAGGCGTCAAAATCCATTCAGACCTTACAATCTATGATTGATCGGGATGTACAAGCTAATTCTGTCAGGAATCCTGGCAGCCATACAAGAAATCTGCTGAGAGTAAAGCGTGGACTTGACATGGTTAGGGTGCTCTTTGAGCAAATTATAGTTACAGAGTATGTACATCAGTCACTAATTTACAGTTTGCTTTGTGCTAGTTTCTTCTATATATGAATTGCTATGTTATGCTTTGAACAATTCTAAAACTATGCTAGGCTCAAAAGAGTGGAAATAGAGGGCAACGAATTTGAAATGGGATTGAAAAATTGGATGGAGGGGGGATAGCTTCCAGTTTTCATCCATGAGTGCTAGGTAGTCAAGGTGGAAAAAGGAGGTTGACAATTGATGTCGTCCCCTTTTGCTTGCTGCAAATGAAACCAAACGATTAATTTTTTTTTTAATGTCTACCATTTTATTTTTCTTTATTTAATTAATTAATTTGTTTTATACAAGCAATGGGGCAAGGAAGGAAGATAGGTGGCCTGGTGGTGAGTCGAACCTTCAACTTTATCACACCTCGATCTTTAAGGCTGGGGTTGGTGTCAATTGAGCAACAAGCTCGTTGGCTTACCTTTTATATTTGTTATTATAACATTTATAAAGGAAGGAAGATCAGTGGCCTGGTGGTGAATCGAACCTTCAACATTATCACACCTTGATCATTATTGTTATTATTATTATTATAACTTGTTGAACAATATTTTCATTTGTAGTTGTTGATTGGACTGTGTCATGCTTTCAATTTTCATTTCGTTATTGAATGAAAAAATCTGACTGCTCCAATTATCTTCCCTTCTTTGTTAGATTCATAGCTAGCAACTAGTGACCAGTGAGCATATTCCCCTCCTCCCACTTCAGCCAATTTGTTCAGGTTGAATCCCCTGATCAGCATCATGGTCAAACTATGAACCAGAAAAAATAGTAGAAACTGATAGACTGGAGAATATTTTCCTTTTTCTTTTTGTTTATTTTCAATCTATTGATTATAATCTAGCGGTGCCAAGATAAGTGATTTTTGAAAAACGAGTGGTTTTGTCAAAAAAAGCTGTCAATTTGGGATTGGTTAGGAGGGGCTGTCAAAACAGTTTTTTTTTTGTCAGTGTTGTGTGAAATTTCATTGTCTTATTTATCTACTTTTATTAAACACTTTCTGGCCAAGAAAAATTTCCAAGCATGAATAACATCATGGAAGGGGATGCTTCAAGTACGGTATCACATTGTGGCCCAGATGCCTTGAAATCTTTGTTTGTAGTACCAGTTCACAGTTCATCATTCTCTATCACCTTTTCTGTTTCCTGCTGTTTCATACCAGTTTGACCATGAAAGTGATCAGAAGGTTCGGTCCAAACTAAACGGTTACAAGGTCACCAGCTGGTCTAGTCCAGGTTTTAAGACACAGGTCAAAACAAATAAATGAGTAAATAATTTACTGGAATGTTCCTTAACGATAATGATTTCTATTGCCTTAAATTTTGTGCTTTGAAAGAACTTATACCTTCGGCAATGTATATCAGAATTTAAGATTTCAGTACAACACATAATTGTCACTAATTTGTATTACAGGAATAGGAAACCAGGAATGTCTTAAAAGGGTTAGTGTTAGTGTAACTTCCACGAATAAAAATAAGGGGTAAGGTTGTCAGTTGATCATGCCTTGAAGGAGGTTGTAAGAGCAATATTGTAATTGCTTGGTAAACTGGTAAAGTTAATGGCATCTAACCCTAAGACCTACGTCATCATTTCATAACCAGCCATTGTAATGAAACAATAAACTGCAAAGGAGGTAATTGTAATATTAAAAACTGAGATGGAGGTTATTGTCATTTGGTCAAATCTCGGGCAATGACATCATAAATTTCCCCTTTGTTTTGGTAAAGTACTTTGTTACATGAAAGCTATTCCTGAAGAAGCTTGGAATTTTGTCTTCAAAGTAATTATTTCCATACAGCAGTAAGGTTGTTGCTTTGTGGTCGGAGAGAGAATTTATTATGGTATGGGACCACCATTTTTTAGGTGGTCCTTAGTGTAAATGGGAGGGTAAAATTGGGAAAGAGAAAAAATAGCAGGGGTAAAAAAGGAAAGAAAAAATTGGTGTTGTGAGAGGGAGTACCAAATTATTGGGTGGTCCTCGACCATAAAAAATATTTTTGTGGTCGGAAGTTCATGGGGAGTATGGGAAAGTCTCCTTGCAAAAATGTTAGGATAAGGTTCCCTCATCCCGATCCTTACAAAGTCGAGAAGCTTTGTGCATTAGTGATTATCCCCATAGCCTTGTTGTGCTAACTAAGGTAGGTTACATGTATTGATAAATATTTAAATTAACAAATAGCTGTTTCTTATATTAAGCGAGCGGCATAGCACATGCATATATGTATTAGAAACACATGGTGTTAGCCCTGATAGTAAATGAGCTGAGTTCTTGTATATCTTTCGGCAGGGGAAATTCCCTTAGGGATCCAGCTTCCAAGGCTTACGAACAAGTATTTGCACCTTATCATGGTTGGGCTATTAGGAAGGCTGTTTCTGCTGGAATGTATGTCCTTCCTACAAAGGAACAACTTTTGAAGAAACTCAATGAGGATGGTGAGTGTAGAATTAAGTTTGCTTGCACATTTATTGAAATTTGAATCTTGAAAAATTACTTGAAAGGATAGTTGCCTGGTTGGTTCTAGTGCTTGAGCAGGGGAGGCAGGGAGGGGAGACAGAAATGATTTATGTTAAATCTATTTGCAGTGAATTAGGAAGTTGATACTTTTATCATTTTTTTGTACCTTTTCAAAGTTAGCAGTTGCATGTGTTGTGTTTAACCTTGAAATTTGTGGCAATGTAGTCTTAATCTGTCACCTACGTTTTGATGTCAAAGCTTTTCTTGTTAAGGTCTTAAGTTTACCTTGTACCCATGCCTGTATGTCCTTAACAGCTCGTAGAAGTATTAAAGCAACATAATATGAATTCTATGTTTATGTATCCTTTGCTTTTTATTATTAAACTAGTGTAATATCCTTAATTTTTTAAGTTAAAATGAAGAGAGAGAAATATCAAATCCATTCTGTTTGATCATATTGTTGCTTGTGGTTATTCTTTTTACCGTTCTTTCACAAATGTATAATCAAGACAGTACAGAAGAATGGGAGTAGGGAAAGTCATTGTTGGAGACTGTTATTCAAAACTTGTCCAGTAAATTTATGCATTTTTAATACTCATATTTCTTTTCTTTTTCCTTTGGTTGTTTGCATGTTTTGCTTCAGAGGCATCAGCGAAAGTCCAAATGCAATATTATGTGTCGGCATCCGCATCTTTAATCCAATACATTGACAAACTCTTTGTTTCCAGAGACTTGGGAATAGATTGGTGAACCTTAGATTGTATTCAGATTGTAGCATGTAATTCGCTATTATGAAGTTTATACGACATAATTGATGTATTTAATGATTACTAAGTATTCATTTGTTATAGAATTTGTTTATATTGCAATAGATGTTAGTGCTAATTTGCTTGCTATTGAGATGCTACGTAATGTGTATTGCTGAATGGTAATAGTGGGTTAAGAGTAAACTTTCCTTTTAAGTCTTTGAAGGATTACATATTTGTCAATTTTATACGTCCGCTTCATTTTTTTAAATTGAATCCTTTGATGTTTTTATTTGCTTTACTCAGATCTTTATATTACTCATCTGTCAGTTCAATAGACAATATCATTTTCTTAAATAAAGTAAAATAGAATCTAGAAGGAAAAAAACTAAAAAAAAAAAACTGAAGTTTTAAAAACCAGGGAGTAGTTTGATTCTAAACCTACTAAACTAGGATTTAGGGTCATTTGGATGAATTTTTTTAGGAAAAAAAAGCACTTATCAGATCAAGTCTGTTACTTGATTAATCGCCTTTTGTTGTTGAAAATGAATGATTTTATTTTTGTAAGTTTCTAATTGTTCCAAAGTAGTATAAATGGAATTTATTAAATTCGATTTTTCTCGTTCTATCGCAGAATAACCATTCACTTGAAATCAATCTGCTTTCGTTTCAACTTTTCTTAAGCGTGCTCGGATTTTTTCCAGTTGTTCAACTATATTTGTTTTTAGAAAAAGCAGAAGTCAAAAACTTGTTTTTTTTTAAGTTAAATTTTTTAGCTTTTAAAAAAATAGAAATCATAAATCAAATATTTTTTTCAAAATCTAAATAGCTTTAATTTTTATAAAAAACACTTTTAAAATAAATAAGACATAAAAAATATTTTTTTTTTGAAAACCCATCCAAATAGGCTCTCTATTGTAGATATTTGTAATTACAGTAAGAAACAGCACATCAATGATGATGAACATTTTACAGACCAAACCAGTTATTAAAATGTGTTGAAAAAAATTGCCATAGCAAGTTTTACAAAAAAATAAAAATAAAATTGCAATAGCAACACCACCGAATTATAGTTACTTAGTTCACAATTTTCTGACTAGACGCTGTTCGTTACTTTTCTATTGTGACATCTAGATCTTCAGTTCACACATCACGAATTGGTAACTAGAACCATTTTATACTCTTATATATTAATCTCCATTTCAATTCTAATTACTTCTTTTTTAACGTTAGAATAATGTACTTGGCTTTAATTCTGATTGAATACCGAATCAAATTAAATTAGTTTCAATCAGTTTATTTCATTTATGTTCAGTTAATTTTGATCAAATATATTTTTATAAAAAATAAACATAAAATCTAATTTTAAATCTGAGGAAACTTCGAATTCACCTTGTAGGTACATTATGTATTATTAATCACTGTGGTTTTAAGCTTATCACTTAAATCCATTTTGATTTCAATGTGTATTATTAAATATTAACCCCATGAATACCAAAATTGCGCATATTTAGATATTTAGCAATATATTGACACAAGAATATTGACAGGTATTCTAATTTTTTATGTGATATATATTTCCCCATTTTTTGAATTTTAATTTTTTTCCATATATATAAATATTGACATATATTAATTTATATTAATTAACAAATTGTAATAATTTTGTCGTGATTATATACAAATGACATTTATTTAAATTTTTGTTAAAAAATTAACTTATTTTTAATAATTAAGATTTTGTTTGACAATCTATTTTATACAATTATTGTTTGAAAAAACCTTAAAAAAATTTGAATTTGAATTTTTTATTGATTTCACTGGGATAAAAAAATATTTTGAAAATAGTAAAGTTTATTCTTGCCAAAAATTCATAAATTAGAGGAAAATTAAACATGTTATTTGAGATTTTGATAAAGTACTTATTTTTTTCACTCTTTCATCAATGAATTGTCTTTCAATATTGCTTCATATAATATTTTAAATTTTTGATTAAGGATATTTTTCAAATTTTATTTATAATTTAATTTTTATTTATGAAGTACATTTTTCATATTTTATATCATAAATTTATTTTTCGTATTCAGGGATTCAATTGATACATATTTTAATCACAAGGAACCTTTAATCAATTTCGTCTAATTTTTTTATTCATATTTATTATTTATCTATTTTTTATTTAGATCAGTATGTTTTTTATTTTATTTTTGACCAATACTCAGTCCTACCTACCTTATAAATCATGTAAACTTGATTTTCTACCATGAATATCGTTTCTTCTAAAGTGTAAAAATTGTGTGATTTGATTTTAGGAACATAAACACTAACAAAGTGTCTTGACTGTCTTCTGTTTTCTCAGTGAGTGCCTTCCTTCCTCTCCAAATGCATATTTGACATTTCTCCTTCAAATCCCTAATTAACTTCAAATTCAAATTAATCTACACATTTTCATTTCACCTCACTCTTCAAATGGAGGATTCCGAGGGAGTCCTCAACTTCGATTTTGAGGGCGGCCTCGACGCCGTACCCTCCGCCGCCGCCACCGCCGTACCCTCCTCCGCCGCTGCTGCAACCGCTTCCGGACCTCTCATCCAGCACGATTCCTCTGCGGCCGCTTCTGCCGTAGCCAACGGTGGAGGTGCAGCCGCCAACGCTCCATCATCCGCAGACCCTGCCGCCGGCAACGTTCCCGGGCGGCGGAGCTTCCGGCAGACGGTGTGCCGGCACTGGCTTCGCAGCCTCTGCATGAAGGGCGACGCGTGCGGGTTCTTGCACCAGTACGATAAGGCGCGGATGCCAGTGTGCCGGTTTTTCAGGCTGTATGGTGAGTGCCGCGAGCAGGATTGCGTGTACAAGCACACCAATGAAGATATCAAGGAGTGTAACATGTATGTATACGTGTGTTCCCAATTTAGGGTGTGATGATTGATTCTTAGCCTTTTCGTTTTTTGCTGCTGAAATTGAGTTTTTGTGTGTGATTGAAGGATGTGTGTGAGCGCTGTTTCTTGTTTGATTGCGAGTTTTGGTTAGGTGTGATGAGTCTGTTAATTGGACTGGTGTGGGATTAGTGTTTGGTGCGAAGGCTCGAATTATCACTATGATTTTATGTTTTTACGATTTTTTTCATCAAAAAGATTTTACCAATATTCCAAACTTTACTTTACGTCTTTTACTATTTTTTATGTTTTACGATTTTTTATCTCCTTTCAATTTTATGTAAAATCTCGATTTAAGTACCTTGGTCAAGGTTATCGCTTCTGGGATATAGGACTCCATGCTCTCTAGTTGTTTGGCTTAAAGACTTTCTGTCTCCCCATGTATAGGCTAACCAAAAATTCAAGAATGATGTTACTGTGCACAATTACAAATTGCCTGTTTTATACAGTAGGACCATTTATTTGACTAGATGAAATGATGGCAAAATATTGGATGTTAGATCAAATCATGTTTTTAGTTTTGCTGGTTAAGAAATAGTTAAGTTATAGTAGTGGGGCTCCAAGAGAAAGAACAATGTTGTAAAAGGGAAAACCCCGGTGCATAAGACTCCCTGACTTAGGGTGAAGGTTGATTATATGCAGTCTTATCCTTGCATTTTTACAAACTAAAAAATGAAAAAATGATGTATAGTCTCCATGGGGTCTGTATGGTGAAATGATAACTGTACATCCACTATTTGGGCGCTTAGGATTGTCATAGTTATTGTTAGAATAATATAAATCACTAGAAAAGCTCTCACCCAAAAGCTTAAGCTGTTGGGTTGAATTGGTTCTTTATTTGACATCAGAGCCTCGGTATCACTGGTTCGATCCTTACTGCCCCCCACTTTCTCTTGCGGAATTTCTTAGCTCAGGTAGGTGGGCCTGTGCATTGTCCACCCTTCATGTCCAGTGGGCTCTCGTGTGAGGGGGCGTGTTAGAGATATATAAAATCATTAATGTAGTCTTACCCAACAGCTTAAGCTTTTGGGTTGAAATGATTCTTTACAGTTATCAAAGAATTGTTCATTATATATTGTGTTGAACATGCTGATCGGGCTTAGTATAGTCACCTTTTATTTCCTTTCATTTTGTCTACCTTCTTTACAGATTCTTTTCAACTGGATCACTAGCTAAACATCACAATTCTCTGTTTGATAACAATTAATTGATTTTCGAGATAAAAGTGTTTTATATGTTGTAATTGGATCGTCCAAACCAGGTCTTAACCTCTAATGTGCTTTGTCATTCTTTATTTAGTATTGCACTTTGAAGTGACTTTCTGATAAAATATTTTTAGCCAACAGAGAAACAAGGAACTAAGAATGTAAGATGGTGATTCATGAATAGATAATAGAAGTTACTTAATAACCTTAGACATGTAGAGCTATGTTTTGTTTTTGTAGTTTTTCGCCCTTTTTTTGGGGTTACATAGAAGGTGAGAGCAATTGAGTAAGGGAGGGGAAAGGTGGACTGGGGGATAATCACATCCGACATTATTCTGACACCCTAGCATCATCATCACACCCCAATCTTCGGAATTGGGGTCAGTGACAATTGAGCAATGAGCTTTCTGGGAGTTATGTCAATATTTAATTAGAACTTTGTCTTTGTCCATAATTCAGGATTCAAGTTTGTTTTCAGCTCCCCATGTCGATAGATCATAAGTAGAGGCAGGTGATTGTGATAATTTATGAAAGGTGTTGATATTGTTAATGTCTGATATTTTTATAAGTTTGGGCTGATCTATATAGTCTTGAAAAATAGTGAATGTGCAAAGAGATCAAATTTTCAGGACTTTTGTTCTTTTTTCTTGATTGAACATATTTGTTCTAGTGTGACTTTCTAGTTTCTACTTTCATTATGCATTACATTCTAGCTGCTGGACTGTTTGGAATGATATCTTTGGCATATTTTCTGAGCAGTGGGTTGGCCCATAACAGTTGGAGGAGCTTCATGACTCATTTCAGGGGTTTTGGGAAAAGAAAGATGGGTAAGATTCTATGGAGTTGTGCTTAGTGTGTGATAGTTTGGGCTTTGATGCATTTCACTGGAGGGAATGAGTTTTTGCAAAGACGTTTCTGCCTTATTTCTTATTGACATAGCATTACTTCTTGGCATCATTATGTTCTGTTAGTGAAGTTTTACAGGGAGCTGCCTTTTTTTTAATGGATGCTCAAAGAGATTGGAAAGATTTATTGGTTTGATGTGCTTGGATTATGTATCCTGTCGTCTTTTTGCTTTCCAGTGTTGTCTAGGAAGATTCGCTATTATGCTGTTGTTTCACTTATTTATTTTTTATGCCACTCTTCTATAGACAGTTTTCTTCTTCTGTCAAAGAAAAATGTTTTCATTCTATGTCCGATTAGTTCAATTTGTCTGACTTTAACTTCTTCAATTAAGATTCGATTACCAAATTGTATGTTTATGATTTTAATATTTCTGCACCTGCAGGTACAAGTTAGGATTTTGTCCTAATGGGCCTGATTGCCGATATAGGCATGCAAAATCTCTGGGCCCTCCACCTCCTGTTGAAGAGGTCCTTCAAAAGATCCAACATTTATATTCTTACAATTATAACACCTCTAACAAATTTTTCCAACAAAGGGGTGCTAGCTATACTCAACAAGTTGAAAAATCTCAGTTTCCTCAAGGAATTAATTCTACAAACCAAGGTGTGGCTGGAAAACCATTGGCAGCAGAGTCAGGAAATGTCCAGCAGCAGCAACAAGTTCAACAGTCTCAGCAGCAGGTCAGCCAGAGCCAAATGCAAAATCTTGCTAATAGCCAGCCCAATCAAGCCAATAGAACTGCAATCCCTTTACCTCAAGGAATATCTAGGTGTGTGTTCAGAGTCTTTTAGTTTAATTGGGCTAGGTGAAATCCGTTATGAGTGTGCTTACAGTTACATAGATACTATAAGCAAGGTACATATTGAAGTATTTTTTGTTCGGCAGATTATACCAACATTTGGCTTATGTAGTTAGTTTCTCCTTGGCAGTCAACACATATATTTCATGTTGTACGATATTGGCTGTACAAACATATCCAGTTTAGTTGATTTCTTGAATTCTTTTACCACATATTGACTTTGAAGCATTTAAACTTAATTGGCTGAACTATGCAAAGTCCTCATTCTGGCTTCTTATTCATCCTGTAAACATAATTCCTGAACATGCTAAGCATCAAGTTCTTCACTACTTTCTGTGAAAACTTGTCAGGCTATTATTTGCAGTCCGTTCTGTAAAAAAAGAAAAATAAATTTGAAGAATTAGAAGTGAGAAGAAATTTTTTATATAAAAAACGTTGACATATTAAAAGGAAAAAAAAATGTCGAAGGAGGTTTATAACTTTGTTATCATAATTCTTTTTATGTTATTATCATATATTCTCTGGTTTTGTTAATTGTTATCAAGTTGTCTTCTATTACTGGCACAAATAAAATTATGGTGTTGATCCTGTGTGACTAGAATGTGGATTAGTGTTTACCTGCTGCATGATTCTAATCAAGTGCCCATTTACCGAATATGAGATTAATAAATACATTATGAGCTGGTTCTGAATTTAAAAGTTGGATAAGTTTTCATGAGGCGTTTTGTGTTTCAGGTTTTTAGTATTTATCCTAAAGTATTGCTTTAGTTGAATCCTTATCTTCTTACCTATATGAATTACACTAATGTACTTCTCCACTAAAAACCCACCTAGGTATTTTATTGTTAAAAGTTGCAATCGTGAAAATTTGGAGTTATCTGTACAACAAGGAGTATGGGCAACTCAAAGGAGCAATGAGTCCAAACTAAATGAAGCATTTGACTCTGTGGAAAATGTGATATTGATATTCTCAGTCAACCGTACTAGACATTTCCAGGTATCTTTTGTATTTTGCTTCCCACATGACTAGGTTGTTGAATTTAGTGTATTTAGGACGAGGATCTTTAGTGTCCAATTGACCATGGAAATGAAAATATTCAGCACCCTTTAAAATGTAGCATGGCTCTAGATTAATTTTATTTGAACACTAAGGTGGGAAACTAACCAATAGATATGATTCTTGGGGGCTTATTGTAGAATAACAAAGAAATGAGAGGAAAATGTTTAAATCAGTGTGTTTTCAATAGCACGAAGGAGGCTCTATTATTTAGTCTGATTATAACAATTACATAAGATTGATGTGATACTTCTTATCAAGTTATTTACGCTCCTCCTCAAGCTAAAGTTTACTAAGCTTTAAGCTTGTTACAAATGAACCCTTCCAAATAAAAAATTAACCCAATGATATATTTGGGCTCCACAAAACATCACTGTGAAGTCAACTCAAGGATGCTGGAGACGAAAGATAGATGAAAATTGCTAGAAGGAAAATGACTTGAATGATTATCAGCCTGAAGAACTGGTTGAAATATTGCATAACCAAGGAAGAACAAATTTGTTAGAGAATAATATAAATCATTAAAAAAGCCCTCACCCAACACCTTAAGGTTTTGGGTTGAATTGGTTCTTTACATGGTATCAGAGCTTCAGTGACCATAAAGTCACGAGTTCGATTCTTACCGCCCCCACTTTCTAGTGGAATTAAAATAAGCACAAAGTAAACCAAAAATTGGGCCTGTTTAATATCCACGCTTCAAGTCCAAATGGCTCTTGCGTGAGGGGGCGTGTTAGAGAATAATATAAACCATTAAAAAAGACCTTACCCAACACCTTAAGATTTTGGGTTCAATTGGTTCTTTACAAAAATTGTCTGGAATGACCATCAACGAAAATGTCCCACTAAGCAAGTATTCACATCAAAGGTTATAATTTCTCCAAGTTCATCAATAACAGCGCTTGGAAGCACCAACCACACGAAAACTTAGCAGACCCAACCAAAGCACATCTAGAACAAAGTCTGACAAGGTCGTTTTGTAGCTTGGGCGAAATTCCGATGGGGATAGAGTGCAACTTCCAAATTTCTCCCCCTCAATGATATGTTGGCATTGGGAAAGTGATTGTTGGGTTATTCAAGTGTGATGAGTCCCACATTGGTTGGTAATTGGTCGATCCTCGTAGCCCCCCACTTTTGAGTGGAATTAAAATAAGCACTAGGTAAATAAAAAAATTGAGCCTGTGCAATATCCACATTTCAAGCCCAATGGGCTTTCTTGTGAGGGGGCGTGTTAGAGATATATAAAATTACTAATGTAATCTTACTCATCAGCTTAAACTTTTGGGTTGAATTGGTTCTTTACAGAGACAAACAATAACATGAAGGGTTAGATATGATGAGAGAAGAGTGTAGGCTTGCTGGACAAGAGAAGAGGAAGATTCGATGAACATGAGAAGGACTTGATAACAGTGGAAATTGTTGGACCTATCCTGAAAGGCCTCTACAACAGCGAAAAGGGCTGGATGGCCACAATCGTAAAATGGGTGGGGGAGGAAAGGAGTAGACTTGGAGAGAGGAGGTTGGGACTAGCATGGCGACTGTGGTTACGGCTTAGAGAAAGCTTGAATATGCCAGAAAAGGTGCTGAATGTCGGAAAAAGGCCAGAAGTAGAGGGCACACAATTTGAAAATCCTAGAGTTAGTCACATAATTGGAAAAGCCCATATCTGGTTAGTGGGACTAAAAATAGTCAACTCTAAGTCTTCGTGGAACAAAAACCCCACGTGAGGGCTCGTCATTTGGACTTGGGTCTTGGACGGATGAACTTGTTGCTTGCGCGTTCCATATCTGTTGGTTACTAGCTGGAAAACTCGCTCAAAAATTTTTCCTATTGTAGGAGAAGACGACGTACAATGAAAAGATGTGGCGAGTGTGGACACGTGGCTGGCTGAATGGCTGTGGATCCACCGGGGATCTATTGAACTTGAGGAGACACTCCGGACCCAATGGTCACCGATTGGAAGAGTTGATGGAAATTTTTTCCGATTTCTGAAAAAGTTGCCGGAATGTTTTCTGGTGTGGCGGCCGGCAGATGCTTGTGGCTGAGGCTCACTGGAGAGGTGGCAGACGATGACCAGTACTGTTGTTGATATGCAGCAAAAGAAATTGATGAGAGAAAAGTAAACAAAGAAATTTTGGGTACTTGGAAACAGAAAGTGACGGGACAGGTCATAGAGGATGGTATCGCTTTGATACCATGTTGAATAACATGGAAATAAAAGGCAAATGTTTAAATCTGTGTTTTAATAGCACAGTAGAGGCTCTAGTATATAGTCTGACTATAACAATTACATAAGTTAATTTAACGTTGTTGGACTTCTTATCAACCTATTTTGAATACTTCTCACACTTACTATAGGTCCAACTCTGGGCTAAGAAACCCCTTGCCAATGTTAGCATTAATAAGTTTTCTCAGCTACTAACTACTTAAAATAATCTGACATTTCATATTTAATATCATGATTAGACGATGTTACCTTTCTTTGACTCCATTTAAATTTTTTGACGTAGCCTCTTAGTGTAAGGTACTTCCATGAAAGTTGATTTGGAGACTTTTTGAAGGAGATACATGATTAATTTTAAAAGCTGTTAACACTTTCAATATTTTCTCTATAAATCCTGAGTATTTTACTTAGCTTACAATGAAGGACAAAACACAAAACACAAAACACAGCTCTTTTAGTAGTTTAATTAACCACACATGTTTATGTAGCAGTGTTCAATTTTTTTTTTTTTTAATGGAAGCTTCTCATAACAATTCCATATAACTTATAAGCATTAGAAGTAATTAACTAGCTAAACTTACCTTTTAATTGCCCGAGATATGTTAATCATAATGGTTTAGTCAGAGAAATGGAGTGATACTTGATGCTTCTTCTTTGATTTTGTTGTGATATTCAAAATTGATGTTTTAGGCATGAAGAAATGCATCAACTCAACTAATTATGTGTTGTTGCTTGCTTGTTAAATGGTCTTTTGCTGATAACTTAATTCTACAAGAGAGATAGGAATATAATTTTCAAATCTGCATTATGGGTACCTAATAGGTTACTTCAATCATGTATTAACTCATGTTTGGCTAAGATAATCAAACACTGCCCGTCTGCAGTTATCATTTTTGACTTTATGATTTGAAGGCTTAATTTATTTATTTTTTCTAATGAGAAAGATCCCTTGGATGGCTTTTCTTTGGTTGTGGCCAAGCCGCTGAACCTGAAGTATTTTGGCAGGGTTGTGCAAAGATGACATCCAGAATTGGTGGTTCTGTTACCGGGGGTAACTGGAAATATGCTCATGGAACTGCACATTATGGGCGGAATTTCTCTGTTAAATGGTTGAAGGTATAAAAACTCTTCCATCAACTTGCACCTGCACACACATATCACTGCATCATTCTCTCTTACCTTCTCTCTTGGTGACCTAATTAGACATTTATAATTTCTCTATGTGAAAATGTCATGGAATCTGGTGTATTCCCTTTATTTCTTTTTCTTCATTTAGTTTTTTTGTTTCTTCTCTTTTTGTGCCCCATAGAGGTCCATATATAATAAGTGACATGTGGTTCACTGGAATTAAAAAAGAAATATAATATTGGGTGTAAAGAACCAATTCAGCCCAAAAGCTTAAGCTGATGGATGAGGCTACATTAATGGTTTTTGTATATATCTAACACCTCCCCCTACACGAAAGTCCACTGGACTTGAAGGGTGGATAATGCATAAGCCCACCTACTCGTGCTAAGAAACTCCACAAGACTTAATTAATTATTAATTAAATGGGGGGCAGTGAGGATTGAACCCGTGACACCAAGACTCTGATACCATGTCAAGAACTAATTCAATCCAAAAGCTTAAGCTGATGGATGAGGCTAAATTAATGGTTTTTATATATATATATATCCAACATTGGGTATTGTACCCTTCTCATGATGCTGCTTTTCACATTTTCAAGTAGTTCCCAACTTTGATAATAGTGAGTAATGCCCTTCATCCAAAAAGAAGAAAGGGAAGTTTGGTGTTGGTTATTGATACGAACCATAGGAGAGCCTCACTCCGAAAGCTAGCTTGTAAAGTAGAAGAGCTCAAAGTCCATACGAACCTCATATGAGAACCCTATGTTTCCAATGTGGGACTCCAAGTCCAATAACTTGCAACTAGATTGTAACATCTTACAACGCTCCACAGCCCTAGCGCCCATGCGGCCTAACTCGGCATTAGTTTTTTACTAGCTTTGGGCGAACATTGCAATGTAAACGTCACCAGTCACTCCGCTCGATTGCAACTAGTGAGACATAGTGAAAGCTCTGATACCAACTGGTACAAACCATGAGAGAGTTTCATCCCAAAAACTAACTTGTAAAGTAGGAAAACCCAAAGTCCATATAAACCCCACACCAAAACATTATGTTTCAGATGTGGGACTCCAAATCCCATACCTTGCAACTAGATCGTAATAGTTATTTTGGAGGGATTCAGCTTTTGTATTTCTTTTTTAAAAAGTTGCAAAAGATTTTTTTTTCCAGATGACTCAGAACCCATGCAACTGTCTAACTAAGGCCGACCCAGTTCAAATACCCACTTCGTGAGTGTCTGGGGAAGGGAATACTCTAGCCAGTCTTTCCCCTGCCTTTTGCAGAGAGGCTGATTCGAACCCGCGACCTGACACACCACGGCAAGCAAGCTTACCGCTGAGCCAAGCCGGCCCTTTTAACTGTCTAACTAAGCAATGATATAATATTTCTTTTACTAGAGTTGGCATTATTAATGCTCTTGTATGTAACTGGGAGAAATTTGTTCATGCACTGGTATTGGAAACTGTGTAATGGTATGTGGAATTTTTCTGCACATTAAATAATCTTTCTAATTGTATTTCTTATTTGCAGTTATGTGAACTGTCATTCCACAAAACTCGTCATTTAAGGAATCCATACAATGAGAACTTACCAGTGAAGGTATTATCTTTTCCATTTCTATGATCTAATTTTAAGGTTAATAAGAGTTGTTTTCTTGCTTTACTCGACTTGCTACACTTTTTGTGTGTGTGTGTGTGTGTGTGTGTGTGGGGTTCTTAAACAGAGAAAATTGTGTTTTGAAGTCACTTACTTCTTTCTTGAATATAGCAAGGATTGGATCCATCTGACTGTTGATGTGATCCTTATAAAAATGTTAGTTGGATTCACCATCCCCAAAGCTATACTTTGAATTTTGCCATACTTTCTTGGTTAATGTTTTATCTTTTGCTACTGCGGTTCTTTAGGGTAGCCATTCTGCATCACCACTTAGTAGGGAATCCTATGTCTACATAATCATAACATATAAACAGGTGCAGTCTTTTGTCACTGTTGACCATTTCTAGGATATCATTATTAACTGCTTGGCATGTAACAAGTGAGAGTTGGTATATATTTGGCCACAACTGTCAGTCATCAAAATCAACCAGCTTCTGCTATGATTCTAGTTTGATAGAGATGAAGAACAGTATGAAGAGAGAGGAATTTTACAGATTGATAGGAAAAGAGAATAAGAGAGGCTTTATTAATAGAAAAAACAAAAGCACAAGGGACACTCCCCTTTCTCAGAAAATTCTCAGCCAATCTTTAAATTGTCAAAAACTACTAATAGAAGGGCATACCCCCTTATATACATGCAATTGAACTTCTGTGACATGCCGACATGCCCCCTACTAACTAACTGCTCCTATTAACTAACTAATCTAGCTCCTAATCAAAGCTTTCAACTAATCCCACTGATTGCCTTAGCTTCTGCCTTCTGGTATAACTTTTCAAGTGCTAGGTTCCATTGTATTTATGTCCGTAACAGCTTCGTAATTATGGGACATAATGTTGATTTCTAGCTCCTCATTGTGGATTTATGCTGATTGTGGAAACTAAATTTAGGTATTAATCTTTGGGAAATGCTTTTCTTCTTTCACACAAGAGAAGATTTCATTCCTACACATACATCGACTTCCGTGTCAAATTTTTGTTTTTATTTTATTTTTAATTGCTGGCCCCACTTTTTTGTCTCAGTAGAAGATAATTCTTCTCTTATGTTAAAGGAGAAAAGTATTCCCCTTAATCTTTAGGTTAGATCTTTATGGTGCCATATTGCAGAATATATTGATATGTAGATGACAAGACCAGGAACAAACCATTTTTGTCCTGAATTTATGGCTGCTCAAGGATCAAGTTTCATTTATGTATAGATGTTGTGTTCTGTATAGAGAAAATGAGATATATTTTCAAATGGTTGAGCCACTTGTACTCTCATAGATCTTCAATATATATCTATTGGTGTACTCTCATAGATCTTAAGTGTATATCTATTGGTCGTTCAACTTGTTCCTTTATTATGTTTATTTACCAAATTGTACATCGAATTCACTCTTTAACTTGTATGATGCTTCTGTTCGTTATTTAAAAGTCAGATTGGAGTATGAACACTGTTAGTTATAAAACTATGAACCTTCACCTAATAACTTAGTCTTTTGCGAGAGTTGGTTCATGAAATGATATCAAAGTCTTTATTATCAAGTGGTCCTTGCTATCCCGTTCTTCTAAGTAGAAGTTGAATTCTAGAACAATGTTTTGATTGGCCTGGGCATGGTTGACAGCTTAAGAAGCTTTTGGGAGAGTTGGTTCATGACAATTACTAAATATTCTGTTTGTGTATGTAATTGCAGATAAGTAGAGATTGTCAGGAGCTGGAGCCCTCTATTGGTGAGCAGTTGGCATCCTTGCTTTATCTTGAGCCAGACAGTGAACTTATGGTATGTTCTCCTTTTAGTCATCATCTTGTTTTTGTGAATAGAAACTGTTAAAGAGATAGGTTCATGATGTAAAAATGGAGAAAAACTAAATGGTTTGGTGTCTTACTGTGAGAAATTAACGCAACTCTGGATTTGTATCCCCCCGATATTTATGGAACTTATCTTCTAAGAAACTTCTAAAACATGACTATTAGGTTGGTATCAATAATCTTATCTAGTTAAACGTCCTTCGAAAGACACATGATAGCATCATCATTTAATTTCATATTCTCTCTCCCCCCTCACCATTTAAGGCTGACAGCTTCGACAACATGCTAGTGTTGCAGCAGCATCTTTGAACCAGGCTTAATGAGTCCACTAAAGAGACTTGACTAATGAAAAATAAAAGCTCATAGGTATCTGATAAGAACCTTGAGATGCACCATCCCAAAAGCTAGCTCAAAGGGTGGGAGTGCCCAAGGCTTTATAAACCCCACATTAGTTGCCCATACAACCAATGTGGGACTCTAAGTCCCAGACCTTGTAAATGGGTCCCTAACATTCCACCACGCTCCGTAGTCCCGGCGCCCATGCGGGCTGTCTTTGCACTAGTCTTTTACTAGCCCCGGACGAACACTGCAATGCCGGCGTCACCACCCGCGCCCCTCGATTGCAACCGGGAGACATAGTGGAAGGCTCTGATAACATTTTATAAGAACTTTGAGATGCACCACCCCAAAAGCTAGCTCGAAGGGTGGGAGTGCCCAAGGCCTTATAAATCCCACATTAGTTGCCCATATAACCAATGGGGACTCCAAGTCCCATACCTTGCAAATGGGTCCCTAACAGTATCTTTATGTAGTATGAGTGTGCAACCTTGTAATTCAGAAATCTATGGAGAACCTTTTGTATGGAAGTTTAGGGAAACAAGAACTTGGATCCTAATAATTCTGTGTGCTAGGTCAAGGGCATTATCCTGGACCTCCGTAATAACTAGCTAATCTCTTGGATATTGTTCTACCCTCGGAAGTTGAAATACTAATCTTGGCCTTAGTGACAATGTATGGTAGCATAACATCATAGTCAAGAGCTTCCTTTCTCAGAGTACGCGTGGATCAAATGTTGAAGTCTTTTCTTCTATAATCATCAGTTTTGAAATTTTTGGGATTAGATAGAAGTCAAAAAAAGGGAAAAGATTAAAGAGGGTAAAATCTAGAAGAAATTCACTAAACGGACTCTGAATAATTAAAAGGTTAAATTACTCTGTAGGTTCTCGTAGTTTTACTTAATTTTCAAATAGGTCTCAATAATTTAGAAGTTTTTAGCTGGGTCCATATACTTGTAAATTTTTTTAAATGGGTCCTTACTAGCTGACAGCTATTTTATGGACTTAATTATAAAATAAGAATTAGTGGGGACCTACTTGAAAACGTAGTTAAACCATGGGACTTATTTAAAAGGTTCCCGTTTAAAAGCTTTTAAACTGTATGAACTTATCTGAAAATTCAGTTAAACTATAGGGACTTATAGAGTACTATAATATAACATAATTGAAACGCTTACTAACACTTATGTTTATTTATTCAAATTTAAGACATATATATTTATACCCTCTACGTTGGATGCCCTAAAAGTATCTGCTTACTTAACTAACAAAAAAATCCTAATCTCATTATAATAATCTTGTAATGACACAACTTAAGTTTATAATTTACTCCTCTCAACTCATACTGACTGTTTGATATGCCTGTTGCCTAGTCAATACATCCCATATACCAAGGTAAAATATGCATGGACTCAATAGTTAAACTTTGGTGCAAACCTCTCATTATAGGAAAATCTTCTTTTACATCGTGAGTTTGCGCACAAGTCCTTGCCCCATCATACATATCTTTTACAGCTTGAACGTATAGATACCATCTCCTGAGCATTCTACATGACTTCTTGTTTAATGTTTATCTTCAAGTATCTTATGTTTAGTGTTTCATTTTACTTTTATCATTTTACCAGCGTATAGCATTTCTGGGGTCCCTATGTGTGGGGGAAGAATCGGTCGTGCTCAAACATGCTAAAATCAACAGCTTGAGCTTTGAAATATTTGGTTATTTGTTGAGTATATTAATCTGTTAAGAGTTAATGAATGTATTTGGGAAATATAAACTGCAGTATTGAACTATAATTTTTATAAGAATTGGATTAATCTCGGCTTTCTTTCTCATACTTACAGGCTATCTCACTTGCAGCAGAGTCTAAACGAGAAGAAGAGAAAGCAAAGGGAGTGGATCCAGATAATGGAGGAGAAAATCCAGATATTGTCCCATTTGAAGACAATGAAGAAGAGGAAGAGGAAGAAAGTGATGAAGAGGAGGAGAGCTTTGGTCACGTTGTAGGACCAGCTGGTCAAGGCAGAGGTAGGGGCAGAGGTATGATGTGGCCGCCTCACATGCCTCTTGGGCGTGGAGCCAGACCCATCCCTGGAATGCAAGGTTTTAACCCTGTAATGATGGGTGATGGATTATCCTATGGGCCTGTTGCACCTGATGGTTTTGGTATGCCAGATCTTTTTGGTGTAGGACCCCGAGCTTTTGCTCCCTATGGTCCAAGGTTCGCTGGTGAATTTGCAGGCCCCCCAGCACACATGATGTTTCGTGGGCGACCCTCACAACCTGGGATGTTTCCGGGTGGTGGGTTTGGGATGATGATGAATCCTGGACGTGCTCCCTTTATGGGAGGGATGGGGGTTGCTGGGACAAATCTACCAAGAGGAGGTAGGCCACTTAATATGCCTCCTATGTTTCCACCACCACCTCCCCCACCTCAGATTGCGAACCGTGTTGTCAAGAGAGATCAAAGAACTAATGATCGGAATGATAGGTTCGGTTCAGGATCAGAGCAGGGTAAGAGTCAAGACATGCTTAGTCAAAGTGGTGGACCTGATGATGACATGCAGTATCAGCAAGGATACAAGGGGCACCAGGATGATCAGTATCCTGCTGTGAACAACTCCAGGAATGACGATAGTGAAAGTGAGGATGAGGCACCTAGGCGGTCAAGACATGGAGAGGGAAAAAAGAGGAGGCGAAGCTTAGAAGATGTTAACACGAGCTCTAATCACTAGCATATGCTTTCCCCAGGCACTAACCAGGATGCCAGTTTCCAATGCTTTTATTTTCAATGAAATGATGAGACCATCACATTGCTTTGTATGAGTTTCTTTTTTCCCCTTTTTAAGTGTCCTGGGGACTGGGGTGCCCCAAAAAAAAAAAAGAATTAAAATTAATGTTCAACGGTCATGTAATTTTTACATATGGTTCATTGGGCATTTAATGTTAATGTATCGCAATCAAGATGATAATTTATAGGCTAGATGAATGTACACATGTATTTGTAAAAGGATCTTAACATTACAGTACTCGATGAAAAAGCTCGGATGGCTTATACCTTACAAAGCATTTCGTTTATGGCACTGGTTAAGATCTAATTAGTGTCTTGATAATAGCAGTTGTCAACTGTTCTATATCGTTAGTCCCTGTTTGGATTCTTTTATTTTTAATTTTTTTTCTTTTTATAAGCAGAAGTTAAGTTAAATAATTTTTGAGAAAAACTCTTATAATGAATTTTTTATATATATAATGAAAAAAAAAGTCAAAAAATTTTAGGAGGAATTTTTTTTTTAAGCTTTTATTAACTGTTTTTTGAATTATGTGTTTTTTTTTTTTAAACGAAGAGTTATAGAGATAGAGATTTCTCTTGAAATATGTGTGTTTAAGTAAATTTTAAACTAAAAATTTTATATAATCACCAAGTAATTTTTTTTTTTTTTTAACTTTAGCTTAAATAGTAGCTTTTAATTTAAAAAAAAATGAGATTCAAACATACTCTTAATCTATAACTAGTATGTTCACGGGTCTTTAAATAGCATAGCCGGCTTTTGTAGAAACTCCTATGTAATCATACAACGCGAGGAATTGGAGGTAAGACAAAATACGAAAAGTAGGTTATCAAGAAGATTGCTACTTGATATAAAAGAGGTCAGGAATTGGATTGCCCAGTACGTTTAGATGACTATAATGCATGGGTCCTTTTAGGTTTAGCATAATGATATTTCTCGTTGAGAAAAAGGAGAAAATAATCTAATTCTCTGCATCTGTATATCAATGTTTACTACTCTCTTTTTTTTAATTCTCTATTTTTTGAGGTTATGTCTTATGCGTAACTCTGTTTTGTGTTCACCTACATATGTTATTCATATATTTTTGTTTATGTTTATTGGAGCCAATATATTACTATAAAAAAAATACTCAAGGCTTTAAATGTCACCACTTAACATTACAAAAATATAATGTGATTTGTGAAGGTTATTTATTGGAGGTCAATAAAATCCCCCAAAAATATATGAATTCTGGCATTTTTTTGTGAACGCCACCTTCCAATTTTTTTTTTTTTTGTTAATTTATATTAAGTGGCAGGTTTTGACTGCTAGACTTTATATAAATTTTTTAAATTTTTTGAATAGTTTTTATGACTACTACAATATATATGTATACTTTAAAAATATATTTGTTTTTTCATCAAACCCTAACACTAACGCCTTTGTCTTCTTCTTATTCTATCTCTGAATGTATTTCTTACAGGGAACTAACAACACTAAGGTATTTTCATTGCGAGGCAAAGATAATCCACACTATATTTTCATCTCCAAAATGTTAGTTTCAAAATGGAGCCAACGATAATACTTTGGTCAAATACTAAAAAATAATAATAGTTGTTAAGTTATTTTCCTTAAATAATTTCAAAATAAGCCTCGCTGATAATTTTTTTTTTGGGATTAGTATTTGTAATTTTAAATGACATAAAATTATCTTATTTTAGTGTGTTTTATAGTGAGAGAAACAAAAATAATGGTGAGAGAAAATAAATAATTTTTTAAATTTAAATATAAAATAAAAAATAGTAGTTTTAATTAAAAGGACAAACATTTTTTTTTTTAAAAAAAACAATATTTTAGCACAGTTTTGAAGTTAATATCACGGAGGCATATTCCTCCCAATCAGATAACATAAATGGCAACATAATAGAAGAACTGCGGTTAGAATGACTTCAGAAATTGGAGACGTATGTTTAAAATCCCAAATAAGATAGATTCAGTGTGGATCCTTCATGGAGACATCTACAGAAACAATAAGTTTTCCTGATCCTGTTTGCTTTACTAAATTCATTTATATTAGTTCTTCCGTGACGTTTCCAAATTCACTAAATGGGTACCACTACAAGTGGAAGCTTTTATTTATTTATTGGTAAATGGATGTTTTTATTTTTAGTACAACTTACAAGGATGTTATAATATAAATCATTATTGTGAATAGGAATCTAAATGAATTAGGTGGCCACTGGCCTCTTAAGGCCTACAATTTGGCTTGTCTTAACCTGGTCTATTTTAAAAATAGTATTGGCTTAACCTCATTAAAATTTCTCTTTAAAAATTAGGGCATGAGTCTATTTTAAAAGGTCTGTTAATAAAATAATATTTTATTATGTTTATCTTTTATAATCATCCTTTTATGAATTTGGTTAATGTAAAAACTCGCACTGTTAATTAAGGAAGTTAACTAATTAATTGTGTAAAATTAGGAAATAATTTCATAATTGATCCTAATAATTATTATGAGGCTTAAATAAATATAGAAAGTGGTTAATAATGCTGAAAGTCGCTTTTCGGACGAAAAATGCAGATACCGGTTCTGCTACTCGGTATAAATGCATACCGGTGAAATATCCCGGAAAATTATAATAAATGCATGAATATTCCTAGAATATTATATAGGACTTGTAAAACAAGTTTCAGGTTAAAATAATGAGAACTGGTGCCAGAACTGATACTGGCTATGGAAAAGCGCGTACCAGAAAGGCGCTGCGAAAAATAAAATAAATCTTAGAAAAATGAGTAGGATCAGATTCCAAAGTTTGGGATTAAAATGCTAATCGTAGCAATTAGCGCTAATACTGTGCGATTAAAACTTAAGTGGCCTATATAAGGCCTTGCACATGATCCTAGGTCTAAGTGCTCGGTCTCATGTGTGGGTTTTGGTGCTCAGCTGCTGCCACCTCCATTCCTTAGCCTCCTTTGCTTGAAAATGACCCAAGTCTTCACATTTTCTCTCATTTTCTTCATCCCTAGCTTGCTTTTCACTTGAGAGCAACCTTGTGAGGGTGTGAGTGCACCATTTTCTGAGTTGGAGGTTCTGTGTGAGGTCTGTTTTGTGGGCTGAGTTCCTTTACTTGGGTGGTGGAAGCCTTTTCTTGGTGTTTGGTACTCCAAGAAGAAATCTTTGTGAAGAAAGGACTTTGCTTGCTTGGTATTTTCGTTTTCCTTAGTAGTCAGAATTGTTGGAGCTGTTTGGTGAGCTTCATGAGCCTTTGCTTTTCTGTTTAGAGCTTGGATAAGCTTCATCAACTTTGTTCTTGAGTTTTAATGGGTAAAAGTGGAGTCTTGCCATGTTTAATGAGTTAAACAAGTAACTAACTGGTATGTGGACTTAAAACAGAATAAAAATGCATGCTTTGACGATTTGAAGTGTTAAAAATAGAACCTTGGATGGATATCTTCGTGAAATGCAGAAACTGCATTCTGTCGCGAAATATCTGGATATGGATATCCGAATATTGATATCCGGATATGATATCCAGATATGTCCCCGACAAATATCCGGATATTCTGGAAATTTCATAACAATGACGGTACTGTTCATACAGAATGTCATTTTGGGTTGGTGGACCCATGATCGACTTATGTGGACTTCTGTAGTAATTAAACTAGGTCAGAATCAAGTGATTAAGGGCTTATGACTTTGTGAGAAGTCTAAAGACGTAAAACGTAAAGGAAGGGCGTTGTTCTTAAATCATATGCTTGTTGTGCATAAATATTGATAATATTGTTGGTCCAAACATATTGTGATCTTTCTGTTTGTGGACTCTGAGGTATTGTGGACTCTTGGCTTGGATAGCTAGCTTGCAAGGTAAGCTTTCGTGTCCTCGATTTAGCCATTGTTTGTTCCACCATGTCCCATGAGGGGATGGTTTATATGCATGATATGTTTTCATGTATTGTTTTGCTGAAATGCTATTGAACTGTTAAGTGCAAATGCTATATGATATGTATGTGGTGTTCCGTCTAAACAGGAAGCCATGGGGTATTCCTGTGGGCGGGTACAGCATGGGCTGGTATTTATGTGGGTAATAGACGTATTCCTGCATTTCTCTGATCAGTAGAATAGTTTTAACACACATAACATGAATATCTATTGCATTGCACTGATTTTGGAACTGATATTGAATTACTGCTTTTAGAACTTATATTGCACATGTAAGTGAGCTTGGGGTGGAAGATCCTTGAGGACCCCTTGTCTTACTGAGATTTCTTGTTTAGAGATCTCACCCCACGTTTGGGGCGCTTATTTCAGGTTCAGGTATTATGGGGGCTAATGCCTCTGGCGGCAGGAGGCCAGAGCTTAGTTGATGATTATTCTGTTTATTATGCTGACATGTTGGATGCTGAATATTCTGCTGATGTTATGTTTTTAGTTGCTTTTATTATGCTGTTGATGTTGAGACTTCTGTTGGGCTTGTGTCTTATTTGGGTGAGCATGGGGTTTGTCCATGCCACTTTATGTTAGTACTTTGAGTTGAGTTGTATAACTTAGTAGGTTGTCCGGTCTACGTGTTGTAGTTCCATGACTAGAGACTTATATCTGTTATTTTAATTAATGAGGTATTCAGTTAGCTGTCTTTTGCAATTTACATACAGGCATGGTTTTATTTAAATGATTAATTAAGCAAGTTGGTAAGATAATGACGTCATAAATGAAAAGAAAAAGATATTCCGCATTTTTAATTAAGCGCAGCTTAATACGATGATATGATAACATTACCGGATATATACGGGGTGTTACATTTTATGGTATCAGAGCAATGGTTCGAGGGAAAAGCCTGTATGTATTGCAATGATTAAGATACTTGATTGTGTCTGTCTTGTGTGTTTGCAATACATATGTGTCTGTCTTGTATCGACAAATATACAATAATTTTGACTAAAATGACAAAATTCTATATTTTGTAAAATTACAAACACTTTCCCATAAGATATACCAAACATGTTCTAAGCAATCTAATATTTTCTTTCTCAATGTTATGTCGGTTTTGTTTATTTTGTTCGTTGATTTTTTAGTTTTTTGACTCTCGAAAATTACGTATTATAAATTAAACGATTTTAATTATAGTTATTAATTATTAAGTGTATGTCAGATATATAATACGTTGATACTAATAAGTTGTCGGTGTGTATGCATATATATTCCACGAACCAACACAGTCAAGAAAGTTCGGCACTAAATGTTATACAAAAATAAAATAAAGAGGAAGGATATTGTAACAATCAATTCGCTAGAGTTATTATCAATGCTATTACCAATCAATTTCATCGTTAGATCGATTATGTTGATCCCACGGGTATATCTATTTCCATCTTTGTATGGTTATGATTTCTCATATTTAATACTTTATATTTATTTTCATCTTTGTATGGTTATGATTTCTCATATTTAATGCAAAGCATTAAATATGAGAAATCATAACCATACAAAGATGAAAATAAATATAACCGTTGGATCAACATAATCGATCTAACGGTGATATTGATTAGTAATAATATTGGTAGTAACTCTAATTGGTTGTTACAATATCTTATTTTATTTTAAAAATAAAATAAAATAAAAATTTAATTAACGATCTAAAAATTACAATATTACTGTGTTAATCTTTTAAATATTTTTAAAATTTGAAATATTGCCATATTTATTTTTTTAGAGAATTAAAGTAATGATATTGAAAAAATATTTTATAACAATTTAAAAAAAACAATTTTATGATAAATATCTTTAAATAATTAATAGATTGATACAGTTACTTTCAGAGCTAGCTGAAAAAAGAATGAAGCCCGCTCCGAATCCGATTCATTGCTTCTTGGAGTATTAAAAAAAAGAAGAAGAAGAATAATGTAGCATGCGTCTTAAGCCCATAGCTATGATTGTCTTTTCACTGCCAAAAAGGTCAGCTATTTTTCGTACAAACAAGGAGAAAAGGATGAACCAAGGTTAGGTTAAAAAAGGTTAGGTTAATTAGATAATAAAAAATCTTGTTTGACTATTCTACCTTCATATTTCATACACAACCAGAACAACAACATCTGGACCGGTACCGTCGCCGCGCTATATAAATATTTAGTTAGGAATTTTCAAATTAATCCATTTGCAAATCATCTAATGATCGAAACCTACTTTTATATATTTTTTATTACGTGTCAATTGAGTTATTCGCTACATGTATATTAAGTGATAAAAACAATAGATGAAAAAACAGTATGAAAATTTTGTGCAAGTAACAAATACCATAATACGTACATACTTCAGCGTCCTCTGAGAGTCTTTATATATAAATATATATCTAGTTTTAAAAGTAATTTTGTTTTTGTGTAAAGAATTATAACATTTTCTTGATTTTGTTGAATGCCGTGCTCCTACCACGCTAAAGCAGATTTGAGATATCTTTGGAATCACATTCCAAAACTTGATACAAAAGCTTAGCAAGTATGTTTTCAATTTTTATCATAATTACCTTTTATTTTTGTGTAAATAAAGATCTTTATTAAAAAGTGCACTACTAGAAAAGTTAAAATTGCAACATGCATTTTCTTAATTTTGTTGAATGACGTGCTCCCACCACTCTAAAGCAGATTTTAGAAATGACAATTGAAGAAAATGATGTCCTACCATAATATAATATCATATATAAATCCATTAAAAAATAAAGAAATAATCTTGGGGATAATAGAATAATTTTGCAATCTAGTGATTTACAAAAACCAATCGAATTAATGGTCTCTATAAATAATGGCTCGTAATGAGATATGTTGATCAGAACAAACTCAGGATTAATCAAGAGAGTAGCCAAAAATGGGTTCCATGCGTCTTTTAGTGGCGGCACTGTGGTGTGCATTTGTGATGCAAGCAGGGTTTTCTGTCTCGCATGCTCAGCTCACTCCCACATTCTATAGCGAAACATGTCCATTCCTCTTCGATATTGTATTTGACGTCATCTTCGAAGCTTCCCTTTCTGATCCCCGCATCGGTGCCAGCCTCATCAGGCTTCATTTTCACGATTGCTTTGTCCAAGTATGTACTTTTTCACCCCAAAAAAAAAAAATTATTTTAAAAAAATAAGTTATTTTTACTCAGAAATCTCTTTTACGTCCTATTTTTCCATCATTCATTTTATAAACATTGATAAAGAATCATCTCTCACCTGAAAGCTCGAGTTGATAAGTAAATATCACTTCAATGGTTTCATATTAGATTTCTTTGTAACACTCCCTTTCATCAAAATCTATTAAACTTGAAAGGTGGATAATGCACACGTCCACCTATCTCACCTATTTATGTTAAACAACCTTTATCAACTTTAATAGTTTATATTAGATTTCTATAGTAAACTTGTATATGTTTTTATTATGTTGAATATAATTTAATCTAACTTTAATTAACTATATTACTCTGTGTCGAGCTTATTTTAGTTATTAAAATTTTGGAGTATAGAAATGTTATTAATAAATTAAAAGCTATTGTAGAGAGTTAAGGTTAGGATACAAATAAAGTCTCAAGGAAGATGTTGTTTATGTTTTTGACAGGGTTGCGATGGATCAGTTTTGTTGAACAACACTGCAACGATAGTGAGCGAGCAACAAGCATTGCCAAATAACAACTCAATAAGGGGTTTGGATGTGGTCAATGACATCAAGACAGCAGTGGAAGACTTTTGTCCAGCCACAGTTTCTTGTGCTGATATTCTTGCTATTGCAGCTGAAGTAGCTTCTGTTCTGGTATGTTTTCTAAGTCCCTACAATATGGCACTCTCTTCTTACGGTGACTAGTAAATACTAATGCTGTAAAGGTAAAAAAAAAAAAAAAACAGTTTATTTTAGATTTAGATTATACTGGCGTTAAAAGATAGTGTCAAGGATTAATATATATATATATATATATATATATATATATATATATATATATATATATATATATAATAGGCTCTTATTGTGCAAGAATTTGAAGTTTTTCTGCAAACTATATATTTGGGGAAGCATATAGTTATAATATTAAAAGTTATTTTTTTTATGGGATTTGATTTTCTCATATTGCATGAGAATTCAATTCTCATGTTGTGGCTCAACTAGTGGTGGACCCCTCATTTATTAGAAAAAAAAAAAAAAAAATTTGCACGCAAATCGAAGGGTCACAACATGATAATTGAATTCTCATGCAACATAAGAAAATGTTTTCTCATTTTTTATATATTATAACTATGTACTACCTAGAGTACATAGTTTGTAGGAGAATTCCAAATTCCTACAACATGAGAAAAAAGGAATATATATATATATATATATATATATATATATATATATATATATATATAGTTAGGATCATTTTACATCAGTATAAGTTACACTCTCAACCTTAACCATTGATCATATTTATATTTAATGATTCTGATTTATTAGATATGTAAACCGTTAGATGCAAACAAATCAATGATTAATATTTAATGTAAGACTTATTATTCTTACACCGATATAAGAATAACATGCTTCATATTATATATATATATAGGGGAATGTTATATTTACAAATTTTTTATTTACAAGCTACACTATGTCTGACCGATAATACACTCTTGAGTAGAGTATAACCGGTCAGACATAGTGTAATTTGTAAGTTTGTAAACGGATCATTCCATATATATATATAGGGTCTCTTTTTTCTCATGTTCCAGGAATTTCTGCAACCATATTTTTTTAACTATGTACTCCCAAAGTACATAGTTATAATATTAAAGTTATTTTTTTAATTATATATTTTCGAAAGTACATAGTTAAAAAGCTGTTGTTGGTTTTCTTTTAATTATATATTTCTGAAAATACATACTTAAAAAATAATTACAAAAATTTCTACAATACGAAAAACACATTTCCCGTAAGTTATATAAACAAAACAATTTTGAAAAATTCAAACCTTTTTTTAATCGGAGCCAGTAAAGGCCCATTAATTAATCGCTGGTATCTATTTCTTAAAAATGATTAATAGATAGAATCAGTCGTACACGAAACCTTTGAAATACTGTTGACCGTGATTTTATTTTATTTTTAAATTGTGGTTAGTTGTGTTTGGGTTAACTTGTGCACATTTAACTAATTTGACTTTCTGATGTGGAATAGGTGATACATCCACATCAAAATAATTCATGATGGTATTTTTTATAACATAACTATAACTAATTGACATAACTAAGATTTAACTTGCTTGGGACAAGTTGCAAGGGATATATTTTTTGAATACTCTACTTATAATGCGTGGTTGAATTCATGAAATAATTTTAAATGATTTTCTAAGGTAACGCACCCCTTTGAGTGTGGAATTAATCCCTTTAAATGCGGAGTAATGTAGTTAGCTATTTTTCACAAGTAATGTTTCCTTCTCACGAGTCAGCAAGAAATAATTTCGATAATAAATACATATATATTATATCACTATTAAGATTTAAAATATTTTGGGTAAATGTAGTTGCATAAGCCAGTCATTTTGTGTAAAATGCTAAATTTCGCTAAGTCTTTTGGGGGAGAAAAAAACCAAAATATGTAAGTTTCATAGTTTGACCTTTGTTTTAGAGAGACATATCTTTAAGGATTTGTCAAGTCATTATGATCCATACAACAAATATTAATTTGTTCAATATTGGAAAAGATAATCATAGGTATACATACTCAAGCTTAAAAGTTCTATAAGCTCTATATCTTTTCTTTTGCGCTTATTAAGCATTCACCTTAGATTCTTACAATTTATATATGAACAGGGAGGAGGTCCCTCGTGGCCAGTTCCATTGGGAAGAAGAGATAGCTTAACGGCTAACCGAACTCTTGCAAATCAAAATCTTCCAGCACCCTTCTTCAACCTAACTCAACTTAAAGCTTCCTTTGCTGTTCAAGGTCTCAACACTATTGATTTAGTTACACTCTCAGGTATACACAATCAAATTCATGTTTGTTAATTAATAGCAACAATAAGTTCTTGATGTATATATATAGCTTAATTTCAAAACCATTAATATACACATGCAGGTGCTCATACATTTGGAAGAGCTCACTGCAGTACATTCCTTGACCGATTATACAATTTCAGCAACACTGGAAATCCTGATCCAACTCTGAACACAACTTATTTAAAAAAATTGCGTGTGATATGCCCTAAGAATGGAACTGGGAATAACCTCACTAATTTGGACCTGACCACTCCTGATCAATTTGATAAGAATTACTACTCCAATCTTCAGAGCCACAATGGGTTGTTTCAGAGCGACCAAGAGCTATTCTCTACTTCTGGTGCAGATACCATTGGCATTGTCAATAGCTTCAGTAGTGACCAAAATCTCTTCTTTAACAACTTTATTAATTCAATAATAAAAATGGGTAATATTGGAGTGCTAACTGGGGATCAAGGAGAAATCCGTTTGCAATGTAATTTTGTGAATGGAGACTCCTCTGGTATTGCATCCAATGGTTCAAAAGATGTTCTGGTTAGCTCAATCTAA